AAGCTACTAGGGGCTCCTGGCCATACTACTAGGAGCAAGGATGCTACCAGGGGCTCTTGGCATCGCTACTAGGAGCAAGGATGCTACTAGGAACAAAGGGCATCACCGCACCGAAGTCCTAAGGCTCCAAAGGCGCATGCCTGGCTACTGAAGGCTTTTGTCGATTTGGTGCTTGTTGCTCCACCGCAGGGAGACCGAGTCAAGCAAAAGACCGTGTTTAGAACTTCTATGAACTCTAAGGCTTAGTGCTTTTCTGGGGATGCACGAGGATTTCAGCTTTAGACAGAATCTGCAAGTGGGAAACAAGATGGATGATGGGACACCGCTGAAAGTTGAGCAAAGTCGTCCACCAAAACTCACTTCTCCAAGGATTGACCCAAATCACCAATGATTGACACTGCCGTTCTGAACCTGTGATAGAGTTGATGGCAGGAGGGCCTGAACTTCTCCAAGGGGATTTTCAGCTACGTCAATGTCACGTGTTGGGGCACGTAACGACAGCACTACCTCCGGGACCACTTACACACTGTAGGGTTGCTGACTGGGGCAGTTGCTGAGCTGACTACTTTGCTCATAAAGCCATGTTGTGGCTGACTGATCTCCTTTAGATGTGGAAAAGAGAATTTGCCACTGGTGTGTAGCATTCCCTTTGAACGTGGGACAAGCCAGCGTGGAGCGCAGGTCTTGCACCTGACGCGCTCGAACTCCGGACTTTGTGCATCCATGGGGCTGTACATCGTTGGTCTCCAACCTAATAGCGATGGCCTCCAACCTGTTAGCGATGGGGCTGTACATCTTTGTTTATAAATTGGCTAGACTGACCCTCTGTCAAGCTTGATACGACCTAGTGACACTGCTCGCCGGGGCACGGCTCGTCTACTGGGAGCCCATTGAGCATTGGCGGAAGCAGCCGGGAAGCTCAGCCTGGGATGTTGCTTGTCCCCGCCCCGCCCATGTAGTTCAAGAGAAGATGAAATAGACCAGTTGTGTATCAACCTGATATAAAGCCACTGATCGAATTCTGTGGGTCTACGACTGGGCATAAATAAGTGAACAGCAGCTTTGGGTCTTGAATCCAGTTGGATGAATTCCACTAGGTTGAGGCCATTCCTTTTATGCTTTAGACTACAGTATGTTCATCACAGATATTGAGGCTTTGAACCGGATGGAGTGATAGTGAACCTTTGTTATCTGCAGCTGTGGGCTCTTCTTGGCGCATCATGTATCCTATTGAAGCAAGCCATTCCACAAGAGCACAACCGACATGATCTTGAAAAAGAACTCTGCAAACCGTCAACCACCCTTAACCCTAACCCTGACCCCCTTGTACAAGGGCATCGCTACTAGTAACAAGTGCCTTACTAGTAGTAACAAGTGCCTCGCTTCTAGAAACAAGTGCCACGCTTCTAGTAGCAAGAAGCTGGTCTGCTCCGTGACCCATAAAGAGCTTGAGCACTTGAGCTCTTGGCCTTGGCCCCTTTTCCAAATGCCTGGAAGGTGGGAGAACGACCATCGCAATGGCTCGAGGATGTAGTAGTGCTGCAGAAAGACCACTCTCCAAGATACCTAGAGTCCAAGCTCTAGTGACTAGTGACTACAAGAACGTTTCTATGCTCATGAACGCTTTGGGTCTATTTGACTGCCTTTTTGGTATTGTAGAGCTTCGCCCACCGGCCATGCCATAAGGGTCGTCGTTGTTGTTGTTGTCGTCGTGTTGTTGGTGGTGGTGGTTGTTGTTCTTGAAGCATGTTCTCTGCGCGCGGTATGTTTCTGACATTCACAGACAACACACTGGTCACTGATGTTTTGAAACCTCCTCAAGACAAACACTACAGTATTTATGTGTCTTTTTGCAGTGGGAGACAAAATCTATCAACATCTATGGTCTTTAAAGATCTTTTAACAGTGTTGTCGCATGTTTTGAACCATCGAAGCAAAGCACACTGCACATACCAAAGTTTTTGAACATCGGCAGGCCAAAAGCTGCCATTTATTACATTTTTTCTCAACAGCGATGCTTTAGGGGTCTTCAGCCATAGTATAGACTTCGGAGCAGATCGGAGCAGGTTCCGAAGCAGGGTCCTGAGCAGGTTCCGGAGCAAGTTCCGAAGCAGGTTCCCGAGCATTCCGGAGAAGGTTTCGGAGGAAGGTTCTGGACAAAGGATTCGGAGTTCTGAGGAAGGTTTCGGGGGAAGGTTCCGGAGAGGGGGTGAGGCGTTGAACAAATGCAATCAAAGCAGCCTCGACCTGCTAACTCATTTTTTCGAGCCTAAGAGGTCTAGGCGGCTTGATTGGTAATTTTCTTCAGTGTGATGGAGTTTGATCAGTGTGATTGAGGTCTGGCAGCTTTTGCACCTTCACTGGTTCTTCTTTGCTAGGCATGTTTTCCTCCCAGCCCGCATCCATGTGCAAAAGCAGAGCATGTACCTTAGCTTGAGGGTCTGGTGCTTGCGGCGGAGAGTGTGTCTACTTGTTTCCGAGTTCAGTTCCTTGTGCATTTGGGCTATACGATTGCGCGCGGTTGTCCAGGGTAACAAACTTCGTGCCTGTTGATTTTGCTCCTGAACGGCTTGTGACCTTATACTGCTAGAAGTCAAACCACCTTTAATTTAATAGCCTTGGTCTTTTCCACACAGCCATTGTTTTGCTAAGGGTATTACACTACAAAGCCAAATCAACCATTTAAGAAATGGTTTATGACTTCCAGGGTTACTATTTTACCACCAACCATCCACTTCCGGAGCCGGGAAGCTGGACAAAGCAGCGGCTTCAACGGATCCAGATGAAGGCTTTATCGTGTCTCATGTCAAGACCGCAAGTTCCGGAGCGCTTTGCAGATATATGACAGCGTATAGTGCTCACAGGTCATGATGCAGGCCTGGTGTCAGGCTTGCTGACATGTTGACATGCCATCGGCTACCGTGCGGCTTTTGTTAACCCGGTGTGCTATTTTTCTGACACGCTGAGGGGCCTTGCCACGCCGACAAGCTAACGACATGGTGCCATGTTAGTGTGTTGTGCATGCAGAATGCTGTCAAGACATGCTGTCGTGATTGTCGTTGTTATGTTGATATGCCGGCGTGGTGTCACACCGGCACGTTGTCAGGGTGTCACGCTGGCATGAGTCACACTAGCATGCTAACACCTTGTCGCGTTGAGATTCGAAAACTTGCACGTATTGCAAATTTACTAACAGATGCCAAATATGGCCATTGCTAAGCAGCACATTCATTCCCAGCTGTCGGGGATTTTTCTTAGGCATATTGCGTTGGGAACCAAACAAGCCGTGTTCGTAAAAACGTTTTTGCTTTTTTTGTGCCGGTATTTGTGCAGTTGAGCGTGTTTCTAGAAGTGACATTTTTCATTTTCATTCAACCAGTGCAAAAGCTAGGCGGGTAAGCTTTGCAGTCAGTAAGAGGAGCTACTAGTGGGAAAAGTACAATAGAATCCTCGTTAGTCAAGGAGAGTGCAGATGCCGCCAAAAATAAGTGGTTCTTCTATCTCTTGTTGGCGCAGTTCTGATATTATAGTTTTTTGGCACGATGTGTATCCTCCACCCGCGTTTGGTTTGAAATTCACAGCCGACGGCTACATTTTTGTTTTTTGTCACCACATCGCCAGTAGGTTGGAGGCCAATATGTTGGAGGCCATCGCTAGTAGGTTGGAGGTTCCTTAAAGTCCTTTCTTTCGTCCCAAGCTGATAGAATCAACAATGCTTTGCCTGCCAGTCCCTTGGCCCACGCTGGCCGGCAGAGCCTCCAATTGCATGCGCCTTGGCCGGACGGTTAGGCCAAAGAAGAGAGGCGGGTGAGTGATGTTTTTTTAATTCCTTCAGGTTTTCTTTCTCCTTTTTTTGATCGTTTGTTTTAAACAAACTCTCTTTTATGCCGATATTTTTTTTGTGAGCGTGTCAATTTAGCTCTCACATGGTTACATCCAAACTCGGTCTGACCCTTTTATGGCAACCTGTTCCCGAGTCGCGGAGGGATAACTTATAGGCAAACGCAAGGACATTGCAACTGCTGCATCCACGGATGGTTCTCGGGTGTCTTGATGATGTTCTTTGTCGTCAGAAAGGGAACTGTTCTTTCACTTCTCACAGTTGTTGATGAAATTGGGAGGATTATCTTCCTGCAGGTGTTCAAGGGAAGCAGGGCGCAATATATGGCTGCCAAAAACACAAGGCCTGGATCGCACACCCAAACCCACGCACGATCCATTCTCGATCCATAAGGTATGGATCACAAGGTGGGTGTGTGATCCAATCCCTTGGACTTCCACTTGGCAGAGGGCCCCATTCCCAGAGCCAGAGGTGGTGCCAAAAGCCAAAAAAGAAGAAGAAGAAGATGAAGAGGAAGAAGGTAGAAGGTAGAAGGTAGAAGGTAGAAGGTAGAAGGTAGAAGAACGAAGAAGAAGACAATCAAGCAAGCAGGAAAAAGACGAAGCAGAAGAAAGAAAGGAGCAGGAACAAGAAGGAGAAGCAGACACAACCTGAAGAAAAGACCAAGACAAGCAAGCAGGAAAAAAAAGAAGGAACGAGAAGAAAAAGGAAGAAGAACAAGAAGACAGCCCAAGAAGAAATAAGATAAGCAAACAGTCACTTGGCCTAATGGACAAGGCATTCCCGCTTTAAGGCAAACTTGCAATCTTTGGTTGCTCGGTTCTTCCCCGGGCTCCTTTAAGATGTCCATCCTAAGGTAAAGGGAACACCGATCAAGCAGACATTCACTTTCAATTTCTGGAAGTGGCTTCGAGCTGCAAGCAATTGGAAAAGAAGAAAAAAAGTTGCGGAAGCCGGCAACTTGAATCTGGAAACAAAAGTGGAGGAAAGCAGTTTAGCGGAAACCAAAAACTTGAAAGTTGAAGCAGCTGTGAATAAAAGCCGGCTTGGTGGAAGAGAGTGGAGGGCAGACACAGGCGAGGGAGGGCGCCAACTCTTGAGAATGAGTTGCTGGGTGTGTCATGAGAATGTCTGGGGGCCTGTCAAGGTCAACTGTGTTAAGTGGGGTGGATCAAGGATGCCAGGTCCTTGCTCCTAGTAGTACGGCCAGGATCCCCCAGTAGCTTCTTGTTCCTAGTGAGCAATTTGTTTGATCCATATGGCTTGGATCAGGAGCAAGGACGCTACTAGGGGCTCCTGGCATCGCTACTAGGAACAAGAAGCTACTAGGAGCTCCTGGCCGTACTACTAGAAGCAAGGACGCTACTAGGGCTTGGATCACTGTTGCGGCAGCGCGGAACGATCCATACCCATATAGGTTGTGTTTCAGTTTTGTATGCTCTTCACACACGCGCTCGCATTGGAGGGGTGACGCGACCTTCCAAGTGCATCTTGTGTCAGTGTATCGTAGCCTGGATCCTGGCCTTCATGCGGAAACTCTAAGCCACAAGACATGCACAAACAATGAAACCGTGCGGATTAAGGACACATTTCTCTCTGGGCGAACTCAAGTCCTCATCACGCTTGCCCAAAAAACAATTCCTCTTACTATTAGGTTGGCGGCCATCGCTAGCAGAAGGCTCCCTTCATGTCCAAAAACCAATTCCGGTGATTTTCTCGCCTCAGTGGAAGAGCTGGAAGTGCTCCGCTCAGGTGAAGCGCTCGGTCTCGGCTTTCTCGGCCTCGGCTTCGACCACCGTTTCCTCGACTGCTTCCACCTCCACATGCTCCGAACCGTCCGGGATACTCGGTGCCACATGGGTGGGAGCACCGTTGAAGCGCGGCGCCGTATCTTTGTTTTCTCGGAACGTCTCGTATTCTCTGGGCCATTGCTATTAGGCTGGAGGCCATCGCTATTAGGTGAACTGAAGATGGTTAAGCTTAAGTAGCTAGAGAAGCTATGATCTTGGTCTGTCAGAAGGCTCCCTCACTTTCCAAAATGGTTCCAAAGTTGCGGTTGTCAGCGCACATCTGGGCCTCGTTTTGTGAAGGAATACGCCATGGGAGTCCTTTGTTCCCGTGACCTTGGCCAAAGGCGGGGACATATTGGAAGCATAGGACGCTACTAGTAGCAAAGGGCATCGCTACTAGGAGCAAGGACTCGGACGCTACTGGGGGCTCCTGGCCTTTCTACCAGGAACAAGAAGCTTCCTTGGGAATCGTTTCACCTGTTGTAACTTAAAAGCTTTCTATATAGTATGTCTTTGAAGCTTCTTAGTAACAACGCTTTCTAGTAAGAAGCTTTTGATTTTGGCAGGAAGATATTGTAAACTCTTTGTTCTAGAGTGTTGATCTGAATTGGAAAGGAGAGGGAAAGCTGCCGTGATGGGCATTTTGGCGCTAAGGGTTCGGCCAAGTAGGAAGTGGGATCGACGCGACGGATTAAAAGGGACATGTTTCAAATCAGCGTAGGAACTGCAAGTGGATTGGAAGTAGGTTGGAGGCCATTGCTATTAGCTTGCAGGCCAGTTGGAATAATAGGAATAGAAGGATTGCTATTTGATCCATCATGTTTCTCCTCGGCCAGAGATGCCCTCAGCCCCACACACCTTGTAAGGATCACAGTCCACAGTGTCCCAGTTAACGTTGCAATCTCAACGGCAGGCGTGGTTGAACAGAGGCTGGAACTCCCGTGCGATGGACCTCCTGGAAAGCTATCCGTGGTCGTCTATGCTCCTCAAGGACACTGGGATGGCGCAACAGGAAACACCAAAAGTCAGACAGGAAGCTGTTTTCAAAGGTTAAGAGTGCCCACTTCACCATTGCCCTCTACACTGAGTCAACCGCCCGAAGGGGTAAAGCATCGATAGAACAAAAGGAGGGTGTTGAATCTTGCAAGAGCTGTGCTGACGCTTTGAGTTGCGAGGTTTCATAGTGCAAAGATCGAGTCCCATGGGATTTCGTGGAATGGTCAAAGCTTCCAGAAACTCCATTTAATGACCCTTTATTTCAATAAAGAGGCCATTGCTAGTAGGTTGGAGCCCATTGGTATTAGGTTGGAATACAAAAGAAAAAAGAGAATGCTATCTATTTAATTTAAAAGAAATCATCTCCGAATTTGCTGCAACTGCAGGTGCCGTCTTTCAACGCGAGGCGGCTGTGCTTTGTTGTGCAGGTGGGTGAGAAATCAAACGGCTTCAAAACACACCAGCTTCTCACAGACAAATGCTTGAAACGTTCTGCGTGTCCATTCTTGTCAGAGGTAAGGCGTTCCACACCAAAGGTGTTCCTTTATGAAACCAATCAACGATGTCATGCCTTTGTCGAGCAAAAAGCAAAAGAACAATGACAAGACACGACAAAAAGACAAGAAAAGACAAGAGAAAACACAACAAGACAAGGATAGAAAGAGAAGGCACGTTTATATACAGTAAAAACATATTTGTCCAAAGAAAAAAGGAAGACCGGCCTACAGAAAAGGAAACAAGGAAGACAGGACAAAAAGAACAAGACAAAAGGAAGAACAGGTATAAAGAAAAAAAGAAGACAGCATCAAACACAGAAAGACAAGGAAAGACAAAAGGAAGACAGGTCTAAAGAAAGAAGGACAACAGGAAAAAAGACCAGAGAGAAAGGAAAAAGGTTAAAAAACAACAACAACAACAACAACAACAACAACAACAACAACAACAACAACAACAACAGAAACATAGGTCCAAAGGTCCAAAGAACAAAAGAAAAAGGGAAGACCAGTCTTCAGAAAAAAGGACAGGTCTAAAGGGCAAAAAGAAGCTCTGAAGAAACAAGGAAAAAGGCAGACAGGTTCAAAAGAAGAACATAAAAAACCAGGAAAATAATGAACGAGATGTCAACAGGTCTAAAGAAAACAGGCAAAGTAAGAAAGGCCTAAAGAAAGAACAAACAAAAGAACAGGAAGCAAGGACGACATGCCTAAAGAAGAAAAGAAAAGGAGGAAAGGACAACAGGAAGAAAGGTCTTTGCCTCGGAGGTTGCTATGAATGCCTGGAGGGGCCAAGTTGTCTTTACAACCATTTGGCCTCGGAGTTGCCGCAGAAGGGCTACACAGTGATCCAGTTGGCCTATCGACCACCTGCAGATGATGAAGAGGAAGCAGCTGAGACTTGGCTTCGAAAATTCAGACTTCGTGTTTTTTGAGGACAACTTATTCTTTTTCTTTGGTTCTAATAGCGATAGCCTCCAACAATAGATTTTATTTTTTGGATGGTTTATTTTTTCTTCATTTTCTTCCTTTCTTCCGTCTTCCTTTCTATTCTTTCCTTTCCTTGGAAAATGTATTTCTTTTGTTTTTCCCCAACAGTGAAGCTAGGGGTCTTCTGCCATAGTAAAGGCCTCGGAGCAGGTTCCGGAGCAGGTTCGGGAGCAGGTTGTGCACAGGAGGTTCCGGAGAGCAGGTGCAGGTTCCGGAGCAGCTTCCGGAGGGACATCTTTTCGCGACATCTTTTTTCGAGGGCATATTTTTGGTCGCTTCAACTGCGGAACTTGCCGGCCGTGCGCCGCGTGCTCAAAGAATCCCGTGGGTTCGTTGGTTTTTGTCTGACTTGCGTGAAAAAATGTAGCTGTGAAGTTGGCCTTGAGCTGTTGGGGATTTTTCTTGGGCTTATCTTTTTTTCTTCATGTCATTTTTTCTTGACCCTCCTTTTTCAACTTGTTGGGGATCACATTCATAGAAGTCTAGTCTCTTGACCCAAGGCACCACATGGCCATTGAGTGAGATGGCCTCCAACCTACAAGCGATGGCCTCCAACCCAATAGCGATGGCCTCCAACCTGATGGCGATGGCCTGCAACCTGCTAGCGATGGCCTCCAACCTACTAGCGATCCAACAAGTTAAAATCAATTTGTTTTGGGTACTTGGTTGAAAGGTCCAGTGCCTGTGGGAGCGATTCATTACCGTACTTTCTCACAGTTGGGTTGATCAAAAAGACCACCTGCAGATTGGACCATGGGATGAAGTACGCAGACACCGTAGATACTGTTTGTTCTTGGGGGTTTTTGGAGCAACATTCATGCTTCCGGAGTGGGGGTTGTTGTGACTCACAAAGGTCTACGCTGTTTCTAATAGCTTTTTGTTACTAGTAGGAAGGCACTTGTTACTAGTAGCGATGCAGTTGTTTCAATTAGCAAACATTGTTACTACTAGTAAGGCACTTGTTGCTAGAGTGGATCCCCACCCAGATACTCCAACAAATCAAAGGCTTGAAGGCAGGCTCGAGCAGAGCACGTTGTGGGTTGCTGGCCATTGGGAACTCTTGTTTTAGTATGCTTTAGTTGTTGTTGGGATTTGTTTCAATCTCTTCAAGATCATTCCGTTGAGTTGCAAAGATCATTGCAGGAGGATGTGATGACCTGCATCGATTGGCTGGCTGCACAGAAGTTCCGCTCTGTGCTCCTCATCGGTTGGTCCATGGGTTCTGCAGCTGTTATCGAGGCTTGCATGGGTGGTGAGACCATAAGAGGCCCTCTGTGACCTTACGCAGTCTACAACCTCAAAGCTCCAACCTATTAATGGCCTCCAACCTAAGAGCGTCCTTGCTACTAGTAGTAATGCCCTAGCTACTAGTAGTGTTCTCACTAGTAGTAGCGATGCCCTTGTTCCTCCAACCTACTAGCCATGGCCTCCAACCAATTGCCGATGGCCCTCTAAGGGAGCCCCCCAAATGCCCTAAAAGTTGTGGACAAAATCCAAGAAGTGCAAAGTGCGTCAAACGACCAAGGACAATGAGTAGAGAAATGTAGAGAATATGTCTATTTTTTAAAGCTTATGGAGTGCAATGTGTGCAATCCAGATCTTTCGATGGAGGATCATCAAGACCTATCAATGATTTCCCTTGGCTGAAGCCGCAGCAGTGTGTTCTCCTCCCATCCCATGTGAGGCCGCCTACTTGCGTCGCCATTTGAAGTTTTTGGTCGGGGTCATCACCTTAGCCGCACAAACCTGCGGTACACGGAATGCCAAGCACCTGCAGGCTTGCTTGGTCCCGTCTTCGTCAGCACTCCGAAGACCGACAGTTCACCTTAGGAGTCCAGTTCCGATTGAGACTGATCACCCAGACTGCTCAGTAACAAGAAGCTATTAGGAACAAGTGCCTCGCTAGTAGTAACAGGTGCCTTACTAGTAGTAACAAAGAAGCTATTAGTAACAAGTGCCTCGCTTCTAGTAACAAGTGCCATACTAGTAGTAACAAAGAAGCTATTAGAATTAAAGTTAATTTAATAGCGTCCTTGTTACTACTAGCGTGGCACTTGTTCCGATTGAGACTGATCACCCAGACTGCTCAGTTTGCGACTGGAAGGTGTATTTAAATATTTTGTGTGCTCACTCGTTTCATCTACGTGTTTGCCCAGGGGTTGCAAAAGTTTGGGAACCACTTGAAATTTGGACACTGACTTGGCTTGAGCAGAAGGGACGGGTGAAAAGAAAGCGTTCTTGTTGGCAGCAATGAGTAAGACATGCCAGACCAAAAGCCAGGTAGACACATTGCTTGCGTGACAGGTTCCCCTGCTGGCGTTGCATGGCGAGCAAGACAACGTCTTACCTTCCGAATCTTCCAAGACCTTGGTGCAGCGTGCGGGCGAAGGTGCCCGACTGCAACTTTTCGGCAAGGACACTCATCGAATGGAGAGCGCCCTGCCATGTGTCTTAGACTTTATCGCCAGTGTGGTGCCAGCGTTCAAAAAGAGCCGTTCATCACAAGCCTGGTAGCCTGGTACAAACACAACAGATCAGAAGTTGCTTCCAGAGTCACTATCACTCGCAGACCAGTCAACTTGCCCATACCTCTTCCACAGAAAATTTGGGAAAGGCGAGGGCCATAGTTTTTGTATTTGCATGAAATACATTTACCAAAAGGGGCAAACGAAATGTGCCTTTCGTTGCGGAGTGTGGCCCGGTCATATTGAGAAGACTTCAAGCCATTGCAGCCACCCAGGTCTGACGTGTCAATGTCTGCGGCAATCTCTGGTGGAGCAGATCTCTTCGGAAAATGGTCGACGCCGATCCCTCCGTTTTCTTCTTGGGATTTGCCCACGGGAATTTGCCGAGGACATCGACCCTGTTTAGAGTCTTCTTGCGGGCAGGTCCCAACAAAGTTTCCTAAAAAACAAGGTCACTAGTAGCGATGCACTTGTTTCTACTAGCTTCTTGTTACTACTAGTAAGGCACTTAAGTTCAGGTAAGGTTTCAATCAGATCCATGTTTCAGATTTTCTACTTTTCAGACAGCTTCTGCTCAGCTTCTCCAACATGAAAATTCTTGCGGCCTTGCATGACCGCCGAGCGCCCATATGTGCCCTAGCTCAAGGCCCCCGCTGGCTGATAGCGAGGGTGTTGAGGCGTGGAGTGTCGAGTTCGGTTCCTCCAACCTAGCGATGGCCTCGATGGCCTCCACCCTAAGAGTGATGGAAAAGAGCGACTAAAAGGTGATCTTGGCCAAAAAGGGCCCTTTTTGGAATGACATACGTTGCATGACACTTTCGGACAGGTGGAGGAGGCGGTGGCTGAGATGCAGTTGCAGGACAGGAGATGCAGCAAACTTGCAGGCATCTAGTTACAACTCAACGCTAGTAACTAGTAGGAACAAGCGCCACGCTAGTAGTAACAAGTGCCTTACTAGTAGTAACAAAAGAGCTATTAATTTACTTTAAATTTAATTCTAATAGCTTTTTTGTTACTACTAGTAAGGCACCTGTTACTACTAGCGTGGCACTTGTTACTAATAGCTTCTTGTTACTATATGAAGATGTGTCTCAGGTTCTTGGTAGGATGCAGAACTTGGTGAGACGCATTTTGAACAGTGAGCCGCAAAAGAAACAGGATGCAAAACACTTTCGCCTCTATCTAAGACAGGGCTATTTAGCCTGTCACCAAACATAGGGGGCCCTGTTCCATTATAAATAGGTCAGAAAAAGGTGCCAACTGCACAAAAGGGAGGCCAACTGTGTCAGAGTCATTTCTGCAGAGACCAGACATCTTCTTCGCATCACGGTCATTTTCTTCCACTGGCAAGTCTCTTGCCAGTGGACCCGTTGAGAAAGGAAACGACGTTGCGCAAACTGGCCAACTTCTCGATCTCGACGTAACGCCTTGCGCTTGCCGCCCAAGCTGGAGAAAACCTCCACAGGCAAGCCAGTGTCGTTGGCACATTGAACTCTTTGCTGCTTGATCCTTGGAAGTGTTGCTGCAAATCCTTGTTGACCGATCGCCTTCTTGGGCTGATACCAGAATTGCCATTTGTTCCGGCCTTGGGCTCTTTTTGTGTTTTCTTGGAGGCCCTCGCTATTAGGTTGGAGGCTACCGCTACTAGGTTGGAGGCCAACACCATGACCTACCGCGCAGTGGCGCAAGGCTAAAGTGCTAAAGCAGAGCCGAAGCTAAAGAAGTTCTGGCCCCTCAGGTTTCCATGTCTGTTCTGGCGATTTCTGAGCCGTCACTACCCGTTGCCAGCTAAAGCAAATAATGGAAGGCTACAAGTAGGAAGGCTCTCAAGGCACATGATTTACACGTCAGAACCCCCGCTTGGAACCGGAAGCAGCAGATCCAGTGAAGCTTGTTAACTTGGGTGCAAGGTACCAATGCACAGTCAGAGAGCTGCATTGGGTTTGCCAATGTGGTTTGTGGTGGGGTCATGATCTTCTCCAGTTCATTCAAGAACAAACTCCTTCACCTCCTTTACTCCTCACCAACTTTTTACAACTTTTGACTGGTTCGTTTGTCCCCCAGATGGCTCGTCCCAACTGTTTGTGTAAGGCATAGCGTTGATTCTCACAGGAGTGGATCTCCAACAGCCCGCCATTGATGGGCGTGGTGGGGCCTCTGCTGGCGAAGCCAGGCCGAATTTTGCCAGGATGGTTGACCTGTTGGCATCGTTTTCGTCCTTCTTCCTGGCCTTACTAGTAACAAGGACGCTACTAGTGGCTCCTGGCCTTACTACTAAGAACAAGAAGATTCTAGTAGCTATTTGCTACTAGTTTTTCCCGCAAGACCCGTTCAGCTATACCTGGCGTATGATCACCCCAGTCATACACCTTCCAGTGTTTCTTTGTCTCTTTTGCTTTGGTTTGATTGCCAGGCCCAGAAGCTCGAGAAGCAGTGCGCTGGGTCCTTCGGGTCCGGGAAGGAATGGCCTCCAACCTACTAGTCGCACTAGTCACCCTAAGTCTAGTCTAGCCACTTGAAAACGTACTCAATGAGTGACCAGACCTGAAAGACCTAGGAGCAAAGGGCATCGCTAGGAACAAGGACGCTACCAGGGGCTCCTGGCAGTACTACTAGGAGCAAATAGCTGCTAGTAGCATCCTTTTTCCTAGTAGCGATGCCCTTTGCTACTAGTAGCGTCCGGCCAGGAGCCCCTATATAGTAGTGTCCAATCGCTAAGAGCAAGTGACCAGACCCCAAAGACCTGCTACTTTTCTGGTGCGCCTTTTGTAGATGAGGCCAAGAACTTGAAGGGTCGTGGGAGCCCCAGAGTCAGTGTTGGAGTTTCCTACTTAACTTGCTCCTAGGGGCTTGCTTTGCTGCGATGCCGGGACAGCAGTATCAAGTTTAGTATGTTTAGTAGTGGCCTCCAACCTAAGTAGCGATGGCCTCCACCCTAGTAGCTTCTAGGATTTCTCTTGTGCGACTTACAGTAGTATGTGCTTTGTTGTGCACAGGAATGAAGCCCAGCTCTAACCTTTGGCCAACTGCTGCCTCAGGTCTTCTTCGCAGGCCCCAGTACCCTTTGGAATGGCAGGCACCACAGCATGACCTCAAATATCTGCCTGGAAAGCTGCAGCTTCCGTTGGTGTTGCTGTGGCAGTTGACTGCTTCCCACAGAGTCAGTTCTGCCGGGCAAATTTCGTGGGGGCCAATTGTTCCAAAGATGCCATGGCATCATGTGCCAAGGCTCAGAGCAGTCTAATAATTAGAGTATTAGGTCCAATCCGACAAGGAAAGGTCAAAGAAAAGACACCAAAAAGAACAGATTTGACGATGGCCTCCAACCTACTAACGATGGCCTCCAAAAACATGTCTGAAGACAGCATTCAGGTATTGATGCTCCTCAGCCTGTCGAGGCCTCACTGGCTTGGATGTGGCCTTGGGGTCCTGGTGGGTCTTGGGCCTCTCTTTCATCGCCGGATCCCAATCCCCTAAAGCTATCCATGTTGTTTCATAGCGATGGCCTCCAACCTACTAGCGATGGCCTCCAACCTACTAGCG